TAAAAGCAAACATAGTTTATAAATAGCTATTTTATAGCTATTTTGAACAAAGTTCGCCACAATTTTCTATGAATAGGAATCAAATAGCTATTTAAGACCTATTTATTTTGCTATTTAATAACTATGTTAAGAATGGCTCCAAAGAAGATATGCAAAAATAGTATAAAAATAGCTATTTAAACTATTAAAACTGGCTCGTTTGTCATCAATAGGAATTAAATAGCTATTTAAAAGCTATTTTATAGTGAGATTCCGTCAATTACTCTTTCAAATAGGATTTGAATATCTATTTCAATGCTTTTTTTTTGAAAAATATATATAACCTATATTTAAATAGGGTGTAAATAGTCATATACTATTTTATGAAATTTGATAAATAGTAATAAAATAGGCATATTTTTGAAAAAATACGGAAAAAATATGGCTAAATAGAGAAAAAATAGGTATTAAATAGGTTATAAATATGTCGGATTCTATATTAATAGATTGGGGTCGGTAGACCACATCGAGGCACATATTTCACAACCTGCATATTTCACTTTTACATGTGTTAAAATTAAATATTTAACTATAATTTTAGTATGAAGTCACTGACAAAAACTGACACTTTCATGGACAATTTTGATTACAAAAGGATTACAAAAGGATTACAAAAGGCAAAGACTTGGTAGTGGTCGCAAGTCGCAACAATCTATTATTAACCTTGATAACAAAAGGCAAAGACTTGGTAGTGGTCGCAACAATCTATTATTAAATACTAGAAGTTACTATCGCAAGGAAAGTGCTGCCTCACCCCCAAGGGATCAAAGGCAGCATGCGCAATTTGATAAATAAGAGACCGTTTTTTCTGATCTAGCCTCCTCCGCAGGTAACTCTTTGGCAAAAATATTATGAATAACAGCGAATTTAAAGTTAGGGATTGTTAGGGATCACAGAGTGTAACCCTATAATATTCACATTTTTGCCAATTTTATATTCATAATAATACTTTTGCCAATTCTTGCTAAAGAGTTGCCTGCGGAGGAGGCTATACATGATCCTGCTTTGCCAGGACGAGATGCCAGGCAGGATTATTTTGATGTATTACTTCTAAAATAAATTACTGTGCACGATTCAGCAAGGTTGTTTAAGCAGCAATAGTAATCTTCTTGAACTACAACATTTGAATTCTGTTGACTTATTTCAATACATTAAAATCACCCGGCTTCCAATATTTACAGTAAACAGCCCCTAAGACACATGTTCATGAGGTAGGAGAAGTACAATTTGAATATCAAACACCTTGCACAAAGTCAAAGGTCAGCTAAATATTTCTACTAGCTTTCTTGGCATTTGGCAGTTTTATATGAACACCTTCAATGCTTATAATTTCTTGCTTTTGTATGTTTATTACAATATATGCTGGTTTATTAGGATAGCATGACCAGTTGCCATGGCTAGCTAGCCACTGAATACTCATGGGACAAAACTCAAAGAAATAAAAATTAGAAAATTTAAAAGAAATACAGTATTCCTTGTGTTCTTACGTAACTATTAATTCAATGCAATTAGACTGCTGTCTAATTGCATTGAATTTGAATTTGAAAGGGTTCACTTTTTTTTTAGACACACTGTAGAAATACTAAGTCAGTTTTTGTCCCAATTATTATTTACATGGCACCTTCAAGGCCACCTCTATTGCATGCAAATCAACCGAACAATCTGATGGGGAGACAAAATCTATTTTTGTTTAATTAATGTCAGCTTCAGATGACACCATTCATTGTACTCAGTCAGAGATTGTACTCAGTCAGAACTACAAAACTATATAAGAAAGAAATTGTGAGCATTATCGAAGAATATTCTTGGGTTTCATATGACGTCACAGAAGTGACGGGGGTCAACTCTAGAACAAAACACAGTTACCAGAGTGAGTCGATTGTTTGTTTTATGTATTAGCCTTGTGTTTGGTGGCAATACATGGAATTCCGTATAATTTATTACTCCAGTACAGCATAAGCATCAATACATGTGAGGTTGACCCCCCATTAGATCCACTGCATAATGCCTAGTTAGTGAAACCCAAGAATAGCATACCCGAAAACATATTGCATGACACAGCCAGGTGATTATGTTAAAGATGCTGTACGGTCTGATCTGCACATGTGCACAAAGGAGGAGCCCTTTTTTATACAAACAGTTTATTTAGATTTTATTTCGTTTTATGTTCTTGCAAAGCTTGATTGTTGTGTCTTTATAATTTATTATACTCTAGAATCATGAAAATATAAATAGTTGTCGAATAAAATTCTATATTTTGGATACCGAAATGTAAACAAAGCCTTTGCGTACATACGGACTGTACACATCTTTAACAATCGATGTCTCAGAGATATTATAAACAGGCCATCAGGCATGGATGGTACCCGGCCTTGTACAAAAGTCAGTTGACATGCTTTTTGCATGTAACTGCTGGTAGCCCAACCTCGTACCCATGGCCTTGGCGCGGTTCAGAAGCTCTGGTACGGGAAGCAAAGGCCCTAGTAAACACTGGTCACGTGTGTCCAAAAATATTCGACATTTTTGTAACCTGGCCTTATTTAGGTCATCTTATCCCGGGGGGATGAACAACTGAACATTGCAATGCACGAACTATAGAAGTTTCAAATACAAATGATTTTGCATTTGATTTTTAAAATATGAATGTATAACAATTGTTTGAAAATTCATATTTTAAAACAACAGACAGCAGATTTTAGGCTTGTTTTTATTTTGATGGAAATTATAAATTTTGAAATCACATGGATTTTGACTACAGTGTGCTATAAAGAATGCAGTATATTCGAGCTAATTACGATTTTATGATGCATATATAAAATTATATTCTCATATCTTTTAATATTTATCAGTTTACATATCCTAAATTCCAGCAGATTCGTGGCTGTCTGTTTGTATAATTAGTTGTCTTCATTTAATTACTCCTCCTTCTTCCGCTTTTGGATATATTTAATAAATCCTCCTTCATGCCTGATATATTTTTTTGGTTATCTCCATCCTTCACTTTGTTCACTAAGATAAAAACTTTCAGTTCCAGCTTGCTCAGAAAATATTCAATCTTTCATAACTGGAGTTCTCTTTGACATGTAAAATAGTTAGGCAGTACACAGGCGGCCCAATCTCGCAAGGGTCAGTATAGACTTATAGTATAAATGTATATTATATTAATGTATATAATAGTAAAAACATATCGTAAAATATAAATTTTAAAATGAAATTGACTTGCCTATTTGATATAGTGTGTGTTCTCCTTTTATTCCTCCTTTGTTGGACAAAAATTTCCAAGACTTTGTACTCGATGTTACTAGTATACATGAAACATGATAAAGGCTAACGATTCAATCAGTGGACGGTTCCGGCAATTCTAAAATCGAGAAAATTCTGAAAGTTGAAAGTTAAATTTGCAGCAAATCTATCTTTCGACTCACATATTTCTTATCGATAACACAAAATTCCATATCCTTTTCGATGTCATAAATTATTTTTGAAAAATGTCTAAAAGCTATACCTTATTTCTCATAAAAGGGTACCCTTTTTTGAGATTTGTGTGATAAGGGAATTGGTTCGTTTTAATTACCCTTTTACGTCGATCCAACTTTCAACTTAGAGCGAAAAAGCGGATTATCTAACGAATTTATACAAATCAAATCTCCATAAAAATAACTGAAAAGGATACGATTATCGCTCAACTGCATCGTTTGTAAAATGACGAAAAAGGGTACCCTTTTCGGTCAACCATGTTGTTTTGTAGTAAGACGAAATAGAGTACCCTTTTCGGTCAACTATGTTCTTTACATAGTAATATGAAAAAGGGTACCTTTTTCTGTAAATATGATCTTTTATAATAAGACGAAAAAGGGTACGCTTTTTTATTTAATCTGTTGATACTCAATCGGATTAAAAATGGTCTGGAATTTTATCAACTGCGCTAACGCGTTAACACACGTTAAAGCATAACGTTTAATTTAAGTGTATACCAATTCAAAAAGCAGCATAATTTATTCGCTTATTGTTAAATCAAAATGGCGGAGTACTTGGAGCAAAATATCGAAGATGTGAAAAACTATGTTCAAAAGAATTACACTTATCGGCAGATTAGCGACATTTTCAAGCAGCATTTTCCTGGGCTTAGTCGGGGTTTCTCGGAGAGAAACATTCGGTTATTCTGTTCAAAGCGTGGAATAAGGAAACTGAACAATTTTGAAGTGGACACCATTATTAAACAGTCTATCAGTGAGTGCTGTAACTGATTATTTTGAATAGATATGTATACGTTTAGCGTTGGTAATATTGTGAAGGGAAAAGAGTAATATTCATAATTAATTGAAATTGAGAAATAGTATATCGAACTAACGCAACTAGTTATAATAATTATATTATATATTATATTATATGATATAATTATATTATATTATATTATATTATATTATATTATATTATATTATATTATATTATATTATATTATATTATATTATATTATATTATATTATATTATATTATATTATATTATATTATATTATATTATATTATATTACATTATATTATTATATTATATTAGATGATATCAGTCTCTATTATGATTATTGTCATGGTTGCTCTGTGTTCATTTGCGAAACCCCATTTCATTGATTTTTAGCTTGATATACTATTTCTCAATTTCAATTAATTATGAATATTAAACTCTTTTGCCTTCACAATATTACCAACGCTAAACGTATACATATCTATTCAAAGTAATCAGTTACAGCACACAATACTTCACTGATAGACTGTTTAATAATGGTGTCCACTTCAAAATTGTTCAGTTTCCTTATTCCACGCTTTGAACAGAATAACCGAATGTTATCTCCGAGAAACCCCGACTAACCCCAGGAAAATGCTGCTTGAAAATGTCGCTAATCTGCCGATAAAATCCATGTTATCTCAAAATCCATGTCATCTCTATTCAATAATTTTTTTACCAGTATTGGAATAACTTTGGCAAATGCGATCAAACAAAAATGTACGCAATCCCAGTCTCCCGGAAATCCACCACCAGGAGTCAATTCAACCTTCAAATTCCAAGAGATTCAAATTACGTCTGTTCTCAAGAATTTATCTAAACTAAAAACGAACAAATCCACCGGTCTTGATCGTATTACCGCTCGACTATTAAAAGATGCTGCCGTAGTCATCGCCCCATCGCTAACCCAAATATTTAACCTATCGCTAAGCTCATCTACTTTCCCCCAAATCTGGAAAAACGGTAGAGTCACACCTATCTTTAAATCTGGGGAGCGCTCAAACATGTAAAATTACCGACCTATTACAGTATTGCCAACCCTAAGTAAGATTTTGGAACGTTTTGTCGTTTTCGGCGTTCCACAAGGAAGCATTTTAGGGCCACTTCTCTTCATTATTTATATCAACGATATGCCCAACATTGTTAAACACTGCAAGATATTACTCTACGCTGACGACACTCTTCTATACTACTCATCCAAGTCAGCTAGTGACATTGAGATTAAATACGTAAACGAGGACCTTAACTTGATCTCTCAGTGGCTTGATCAAAACTTACTTACATTGAACTGCAAAAAATCTAAGTTCGTCCTGTTTGGTAGTAACAGCCGTCTGAAGTCGTTCACTAATATATCCATACATGTCAACGAACATCAACTTGCCCGTGAACGTACCTTTAAATATCTAGGTATAACTTTCTCAGAAAATCTCACTTGGTCTGACCATTTAAATAATATTTCAACAAAAATTAACCAACGCATAGGACTGCTAAGAAGAATTAAAACCTTCATTCCACTCAAAACTAGACTTATCATCTACAACGCTCTTATTCTTCCACTATTTGACTACGGAGATATTATATGGGGTGACAAGAATAACTCCCCCTTAATGGATCAACTACAAGTTCTCCAGAATAAGGCTGCAAAGACCATTCTTGACGCTCCCTACCTATCCTCATCAACTGAAGCCCTCAACAAATTACACTGGCATCCACTTGCCCACCGACGCAAACTACACCGAATACTAACCATATATAAATTAAAAAATAATTTAACAGAGTTTAATCTCGAACTGCCTAAAACTAATCATTTATATAACACAAGACGCAGAGATGATATATACCTCTGTAAGCCGAAGAAAAACTGGGGAAAGCAAAAACTGCTTTACCAGGCTTGTAAAGAGTACAACGATTTGAACTATAATACTAGATCCATTGAACAATTAGGAACCTTTTCAAAAGTCTTTCAACAACAAAAAAGTCTTTAATAGGTCAAAAGATAAAAATACATATCTTATGTTACAAGTATATATTAAAAAATACATTAGTAAAGTTTACATGATATGAATAGGTTATAGTTAAAAAATTAATCTATTTGCAAACGACAATTTAAAACGTTCCGTGTTCACTCTTGGATACTGACTAAACTCTGTCCTCAAAGAGTAGCTTGTGAATTTTTTTCTTGGTATCAAGTCGACTATGGCACTCTTCTGATTTACAGAAGCTTTAAAAATATTTCTGTCTTGTATTTCTAAAAGATATCTAATATTTACAGGTTCTGATATATACTTTCGCTTAAAACATCTGTCAAAAAACCGTTGTAGAGTATTGAGTTCGGCTGGAGAAGAACCGTAGACGGACAGGCCAAACGTTATAGTTGATATTACTAGGGTCTTAAAATAGAATGAACTTCTCAAATCTCTATCTTTATAATACTCATAACTATTTAAAATATAACTTACTAATTCTTTGTATCCTTGTAAATATGTATAGCATCATGTATCCTATAGTCTCATAATTTTTCTGGTATATTATATATATCCATATATACCAATATGTAAATACTGCACGCACACTATATATATTTTCTATACTTTGTATTTTAATGTTTTGCAGGAACCATCTGAAAAACACTTCTTGTGATGTTGGTTTCCTGAATAAATATTATTGTCATTCATTTTTTCATTCATTCATAAGTGTAATTCTTTTGAACATAGTTTTTCACATCTTCGATATTTTGCTCCAAGTACTGCGCCATTTTGATTTAACAATAAGCGAATAAATTATGCTGCTTTTTTAATCCGATTGAGTACGAACAGATTAAATAAAAAAGGGTACCCTTTTTCGTCTTATTATGAAAGATCATATTTTACAGAAAAGGGTACCCTTTTTCATATTACTATGTAAAGAACATAGTTGACCGAAAAGGGTACTCTTATTTCGTCTTACTACAAAACAACATGGTTGACCGAAAAGGGTACTTTTTTTCGTCATTTTACAAAACGATGCAGTTGAGCGATAATCGTACCCTTTTCAGTTATTTTTATGGAGATTTGATTTGTATAAATTCGTTAGATAATCCGCTTTTTCGCTTTTAATTAAGTTGAAACTTGGATCGACGTAAAAGGTAATTAAAACGAACCAATTCTCTTATCACACAAATCTCAAAAAAGGGTACCCTTTTATGAGAAATAACGTAGGGCTTTTAGACATTTTTCAAAAATAATTTATGACATCGAAAAGGATATGGAATTTTGTGTTATCGATAAGAAATATGTGAGTCGAAAGATAGATTTGCTGCAAATTTAACTTTCAACTTTCAGAATTTTCTCGATTTTAGAATTGCCGGAACCGTCCACTGGTTCGATCGTCGATACGACGGCACGGCACTTCGAATCGAAAATTCTCACACTCAAATCGCTTTATTCTCAAAAAAAATTCGCCAGCATGTACATTAACAAATGCCGTTCTTCGAAAATACAGAGGTATTTCGGCGAGATGTACAAGTTTTGGACCATATTTTAACAATACAAATCAAAACCCATTTTATATTTAACTTACCCGGACCGAAAATTACTACGGCGAACGTCTGCGCAACCAGGCCTCCTTTACCGTTGGATTTACAGGGGGGAAGCAGATATTTCCGGTAACAGCCAGCCAATCGCGGCCGCGTAGCGACTGTTTACATTATTTGAAATTTGATATTCAAAATAAAAACTCCTTCGATCGGATACTGTATAAAACTCGAGATGTTGTCGAAGAAAATAAAATTAAACGACGGAGATTGAAGAAATTTAAGGAAGAAGTAATAAGTAAGAAGAAGTAGTAAGTCAATATAAAATGGGTTTTGATTTCCATTGTTAAAATATGGCCAAAAACTTGTACATCTCGCCGAAATACCTCTGTATTTTCGAAGAACGGCATTTGTTGTACATGCTGGCGATTTTTTTTTTTTAGAATAAAGCGATTTGAGTGTGAGAATTTTCGATTCGAAGTGCCGTGTCGTCGTATCGACGATCGGGAATCGTTAGCCTTTATCATGTTTCATGTATACTAGTAACATCGAGTACAAAGTCTTGGAAAATATTAGTCCAACAAAGGAGGAATAAAAGGAAAACACACACTATCAAATAGGCAAGTCAATTTCATTTTAAAATTTCACTGATATTTTACGACATATTTTTACTATACTATAAAGTCTATACTGACCCTTGCGAGATTGGGCCGCCTGTGGGCAGTACCCTCAGTAAGATACTTTATATTTAACTGGCTAACCATTACAGTAGTCAAAAGTTAATAAATGAATACAAATCATGCAAAAATTACAAATTAACTGCCCTCATACCAATCCATTGGTCTCTGACTCATCCAATAAATACTTAACAGAATAGTACGATAATAATAGAAAAGTGTGAAAATGCCAATGTTACCTTTCTTTGCGTGACAAGAAAGTTAGATGACATTAATTTTACAGTCAGGTATTCTTTTCTTTATCGCCTCAATACTCTGGTTGATGATTCCAATGGCCCCCATAAAATTCCAATGGTCCCCATAAATTTTACTGGAGAAAATGTTTCCCCCACTTCTTGCCATTAACTCTCCATATATAGCCCTCAATTTTACCCATCCAAGGGAGAGTCTTGTGTGGTCACACTACAGTAATGGGAATATGGGATAATCAAATATGGCATACTTTGTTATTTTTCTCTGTACAACACCAGACAATTTAACTGGTCAAGTGTAAGATTAAGTGAGTAATAAAAAGTGGCTGGATATTCTAACTTTTGCTCCATATAACTGGACTTTGGTTGTGAGCAAAATGTAAAAAGACAATTACCAGTAATACTGGCCTTAATACATCCCTATTATTTACCTTGCAACCTTGAGCAGTTGTGCTGTTACAGCAGAATGTGGTTTCAAATGACAGTTATTTTATGGCAATTGTGATATTCCAGTGTGCCAGTAAGACATTTGTCGTTTGTTTCTCTTTTAGTATTATATCGAAAAGGTGATTGCAGGGTATTCAGATCCTGGAGTGATGTGAAATGGCCCTGACCTTGGGCAATTAAGTAATATATGAGTGGTGTAAAATAGGAAATTTTTTATTCTTTCTGATTGACCAATAAAATTAGAATGGTGAGAATAATGATGATGATGGTAGTGAAATACAAGTTGTGATGATATTGGTGATAATGAAAATATATTGTATTTGTAGTGAGACATAAATAATAAAGAGATTGGCAGTAATGAATGTGTATGATTTGATCAATTGTGCTGGTGAGAAGGCAATATATTGCCACCTAGATGAATTAAGTCCCATGCCAATTTGTGTTTTATTAAAACTAACTGTTTTCATCAGCTCCAAGCATAACTGGGAAAGCTGGTTTCCATCCTGTTAGCTGATCTTGAAACTATGTGTACACATATAAATATTTATTTTTTCCCCTCATGAATTATATTGTTTGGCCCAAAAATTGGTTAATTATTTCATGTAGAAACAATGTGAATGTTGTTTGAATTTGGTATGTTCACTCTGTGACAAGTGAAAGTGATATGTAATTCATGCATAGTATGGTGATTTTTGGTTTCAGGATGTAAAAAATGAAATTTACTTACTGATAAAATTCAGTGTAACCATATTCATTAAGCCTCTGTGTCGCTCTAACCCTACCTCATCAATACAAATAAAACTCTGCATAGCCGGATAGGACCAAATAGGTTTTTAATTTTACTGACAAAAGTATGATGCATGAAAACACCCAATTTTTTAGACCAGCTGTGAATAATACTCCAATTAAACCCAAAAGAATTTTTATGGTAAAGAAGTAATTATAGTATTTAATTTAATTTAATTTAATCAAGTTTTACTGCATACAAAAATAATAACTGAATAAACTATATGCAGAAGGAAGAAATAGAAAGGAACAATAGAACCATGCTAAGCTATTCCACCAAAAATAAAGTAGCGATCAAAATGATCGAAAAAAGTAAATAACTGTACAAAACACCCCCC